ATTTTCAAATTTAGCTTTCAAATATTTTACAGTAACTGCTTTCTTACCTTAGTATCGTTGTCGTCGTCATCATCATCATCATTTTTTTTCTTTGCTAAATAATCATCTAATAATGCTCGAGTCTTGGCATCTACTTTTACCTGAACAAATACAAAATCATGATTATATCTCATTTAGTCTTTCAGGCAATTCAAACCCCCGTTTTTTTAATATGGCTGGCGAGTTTGCTGAGCTATCAAAATCGCTTCAAAATTAGCTCTTGGCAGGCAACAGGTTTTACTGTGATCGAATGCCAAAAAAACATGAGAAAACATTAACATATTGCCGCACCTCACAAGCAGTTTTCTGCAATGTGGCAAGCCCAGATTGATCATTTGTGGATTACAGCAGAAAATCTTGTAACTGGGTAGCTGTAGCAGACAATTCTGTTACCGGGTGTTGTAACAGCTGTTGTCATCAGGGACTACCAAAACATATGTGTCACGTTGTGCCATTCAAAAATGTATCAGTACATTGAAAGGCTTTGGAAACAGATACATGTATGGGTTTACAATCAGATCAAATTAAGAGATTGTAAAATGAAAATATTGGAACACCCTTTTCTGTGCATTCTATATCAACCTGCACTGTACAAACATGAGATTGTAAATAATCACAGTAAAATATGCATAGCTTTTCGACAATTCAAACACAATTATAGCAATTAACCAAAAATTAATCTCATTGAAACATGCTAAAGTCAACCTAATGGTACATACCACTAATTTCTTGTTTGCTATCTGCCAGTCATGTAGTAGCCTCATGGCTCGTAAACTAGCTTCTGGGTCGGCATATTCACAAAATCCAAATGCTTGCAGTTTACCCGACGCACCCTGAACTCTTTTCCAGCTTACAATTGCACCACATTTCTATGGATGAAATGAGTGAATCTAATGTCAACAATGTTTTGGGTTACAAATAATACCAGATTCATGAACTCAAAAAGACAGATGTCTGAAAAATGCATACACGATACTACTATAAAAGCAATACAACAATTCAATAGTATTTTAGCACACTGGGACAAGTAGAAGCATTAACAATGAAATGTGTTTTAGCTAGGTTAACACTTGAATTGAAGGCAAACCATGAGGAGAAACTTTCAATGGATTTTATTTGCACTGATAGAACACAAGCTGAAGTGCGAGTCAAATTGCATAACTGATAATAATTTGCTAATAATTTGGTATTTATTGAATATTAATAAGAATAAAATCCACCAACAATTTTTTGGCATATTAGTGAGCAGCAACAAAAATGAATGACATGTTTAAAAGTATATTTTACAACACATTCTCATACAGTCACTTTAGTTATAACACAAAACTACCAAGCTATGTTATTACTCACATTTAACATCTGCCTGATCATCATGTCTGAAGCTCTCTCGGATATATTACCCACAAAAACTGTCGTCTTTGGTTTATTTGGATCATCATCATCCCGCTGTTTAATGAGAAAGTATATTATTATGAAACATGGAGTTTCAAGAGCCAGTCAAATCAGGGTTTATCACCAAAAACAGCGCAGCAATTTTAAGCACAATTCAGCACAACATACTACAGCAGAGCCCAAAAATTGGTGTGTGTGTCACCACATAAAACCATCTATAAAGAACCTTCACTTGGTATAACAGCCAAGTTGTAAGTGCTGTGAAGTACCAGTAATCCATAAAACAAGTTGCATGTGTCTATGCGAGTAAGGATACACGAGAAGTACTACCTACTTTGTCATCATCATCATCATCTCTATCATATTTTCTATAGGTGCTTGCTACTCTACTCGGCTGCATGTAATTCTATCAAAAAGAAACAAGAGTATTAGAAAGCAACTATATGCCAAATATCTGTTGTGTTAGCTATAGGTTATAGCTACTACTAACATACCCCAAATACTGGAGATGTACAAGAAATCAAATTGAATATTTAGATATATTGTATGATAACTGACCTTTCTACCAAACATTTGATACCTTCTCATGTGTGTTGATGACGATGAATCAGTCTTTAAGAAAATGAAAACAGATTCATTTTCTCTCAAATTAAAACTAACTGACCATCTTTCCACAAAGAAGGCCATCAGGTTTATCTAGAATCCATCATCAACCCACTTTCTTGCTGATTGTACATCATCAACAACTCAGCAAGGGCAGGGCACAAGATGATTACAGTAACTGTTACTACATGTATATTTTTAACTATAAATCCATGTTTCACTCAACATGTGAAAATTTCACTGAGCTAATATACAATACACAGTCTGAGCTACGAGTACAGGTTTGCGAATGCATGTTTAGGAATTGGGGATCTCATGGTTGAAAAAGCCCAGCAATCTTTTTATCCATGATGAATAACATTTCATCACAGAAAGATAAATTTGATTCATATTTTTTTTTTAAAACAAAATTTTAATTTCAGTGGCAATATTTTGATATGTTAGGGGCAAAGGTTTAAATCTTATATGGTCAAAGTCAATGTAAAAGTACACATGGGCTCACAGCATAAGGGTTAAAATTTGTAAGACAAATATTTCTTTTCCAGAACACAGCTTCACAGAGTCATGGGACACAATCAGGCATAAAAAAAAATCATGGCACACAAGTTTAATAATATACAAATACAAATCTGAAAGCGAACCACAAAATGGACTTGTTTACCAAACACCAAAGCACTCAGGCTACTGGTTTTCAAGAAGAAGATGATGATGTTCACAAACTGGTGTAGGACAATTAATAATACGTCATTTTCAAAGACAACTGAGCTAAAAAGCTGTAATACAAAAAAGCACATGGCCAGAGTCTTTTCAAAATCCAAATATGGTTTTATTGCAAAAAATATTCCATATATCAATTGCACATTAACTTGATAAAGATTACTTACCTTTCTTCCTGAATTTGAATAGGACTGTCTGTGAAGATTGCTTGACGGTGATGGTGATGAAGCGTTCTTTGTATAAAAATAACAATTATTATTAGCATTAAAATACACTGTTAATGAAGATGTGATACAAATTCTACTGCTGCCTGTATACAAGGTATATTATTTGTCTCATACCGGTACATCATATAAATGTTACATGCATGTACTTACTGATGTAACTGGAGGTATCATTGACATTGACATCGGCATGGTTCCTAGATAGAATAGAAGACAGTGATTGGTATTCGCACAGCACGTTTGCCAATAGAGGGACTAATATATTGTCTCTCTCTGGCTCAAATCAAACAAACACAAAGACATGTGCAGAATAAATTAGGTTTCACATTTCGCAGGTGAACTGTACCACAGTACAAGAAAGATGTCATGTGTGCAGAGTGAGTTGAAGGCATAAGACCCGACACTCGGGTTGTGTTGATATCTCTATCGTGAACACCACTAATATTTGTAGTCAAATCGCAGTTTGTCATGTGTATCAAGTTGCCAATGCAGTTATTACATTAGCATATACAAACAACAAAACATACCAGGTGGCAATGGTGGAAATGATGCGAATGGCGGTGGCTGCATTCCTGGTGGAAGTGGCGGCATTGGTATTGGAGGTCTATTCATTGAAGGAGGAAACGACATCGTGAAATTATATACACAACTTCTTTATTTATTTTACCTGTAAATAATGTTAACATGAAAAAGAACAATCATCAGTAAAAATTAGTTTGACAAAAATATATGTATACTGTATTTGCTCTATTAGAGGCGCAATAAGCAATGTTTTGTTTATATGCAATTATTTTAAAATGCGCTTCCAACTGAACAACTACAAATTAGAATACTTGATTGTGATAATTATATAGATCTTGCACCATTTTACACACGTAAGTTTATTTTCATTTAAGCAATTTCATGTCCAGAGTATACAGATAAAAAGTTCTAAAAGGAGATTCTTATAAAACATACTGTATTTTCCTGGGTATAAGCCCAGGATGTTTTTATGAGATGTCAACAATAGATATACATAATTTTAAAAATAAAGATGTGTGTTTTATTCTGTGAAAATCATGATTGGTATGGTAGTTCTTTTTTTGGAGTGTGTGGTGGCCCGGAAAAAGGCCATTTGGTTCCTGCTTTTACAAAAAAAATTGCATAAATTTCAGTGTTTGATGAACAACGGAATATGGTTTGCATATCTTCTAGAATAAGGTCAATGATTATGATAATATTGAAGGTCAGTTGTAGTCTTGCTTCAAATGCACAAGTCTGGGTTCCATATGAACAAAAATGGCAACTCTGTGAGTGTTGCACAAAATGAGACATTACCAAGGTTTAACTAGGTAATTTCTAAGATGATTAGAATGCATCAAAGAATATTCTGAGGAGTCAAATGAATATTTAGTGCACACCATGCCAAGGACAAAACTTGTATTCATGCTTGGAAATGGATTGTAGGCTAATTAATGTTTATCAAAAATTAATCTTGTATATGCGCAACGCGACTACCACCAACCTTTGATATTAATATTCATGGTGGTTTTTAAGTTATCAGGTACTAATGTAAAAATGAGACGAACATCACGTTGGTCATGGATATTCATTATATGACATCTTCCAGTTGGATATAAACTTGTGTTTTTAGCATTTTCTACCTCTAAGTGGTTGCTTTTTTGCCAGTTTCACATACAAATTTGCATATTTACCTCTATGTCACCATCACACATGAGACTCCTGTTACATACATAACATGATCAATATTTAGTAGTTATCTTTATTTCACTAGAAACTAGCAGTTTTGCTTATTACTATTTAAATGTCCACTACTAATAATCACCAAAAATTAGCAAAATGGATTCTGATTTCAACACGGAAATCAGCTAAATGAGGCCCAACACCATACCTATAACGCAACGCACTACAGATAACATAGAAAACATCTAATTGGGTCACCCTCCATGCCCTCAACAACACCAATTTATTAGGAGAATAAACACATCCGAAGGTTTTAATAATGTTTACAATAAGTAAACATATGTCAGTGTGATGGTCGTGATAAACCTGGTAACGTGTGTTTGGTTTGGAAGCAAATTTAAAATGTTTAATAAAACGCGCCGATTTCAACTACACTGCCCTGACCCACTGTGATGGCAAAACACGCTCTGAGCATAAACTGAAACAAAAGCCAAAAGCATCGGTAAAAACATGGTCAAATATACAAGCTGAACCAGCACCACCACGTCTACGAATTATCTGCCTATAACAGAGGGGATAAAATAACTCACCTGATCTTGAAACACAGGAAAAGGGTTGATAAACTTGCGATTTTGGCGTATTTTTCCTTCTTCGAACTTTCCGAAGCAACATGGACGCCACGATATAATAGCCCTCTAGAGTTGGAGTCAAGTGAGGTCATCCTCTTTCACCAATAGATATGTTTGATCATGCATCGTTATTCATGCATGTAATCGGTAGAAATTTTGCAGTTTATGTTAATGACAAATATATATAGTAAAGCATTAAATTAAATGAAAGAATAGCTGAATTGATAAACAAGACTACACAATGTTTCTACTTGTATCTATTTGCGAACGAGACTGAGGAATTGTGTGTTGTTATTCATTTCCTCAAAACACATGGTTTGTGGCTTTTACTAATTCAATTCATGGTTTTTTGCCAAACATTTGTTAGCAAAGTCTTCTAAAATGCCACTAGACTCAAAACGTATACCGGGGCCACGCGAATCATTCCCAGTTACGAACTTTATTAGCACGGAGAAAGACAACCCCGATCTTGTTAATGACGATGGAACCAGGCATGATGGACGAAAACCGAACGACATACGCCCTATATTTTTGAGATGCGGTATTATCAGCAATGCTAAAGGATCTGCGTATATTGAAACGAAAGATACAAAAGTCACCTGCGCGGTTTATGGGCCACGGCAGGTTGTTAGGAGAGAGGATTTCAAATTGACTGGGACACTAACATGTGATTTCAAATTTGCAACATTCTCTTGCCAGAAGCGCCAACAGCACATGCAGAGTAGTAATGAAAAGGACTTGTCACTAATCGTTCTACAAGCGATGGAGCCAGCCGTTTGCCTCGAGAAATACCCAAGAGCCCAGATAGATATATTCATCACAGTACTCCAGAATGGTGGCAGTGCTTTGAGTGCTGCTATAACATGTGCATCAGCGGCCTTGGCTGCTGCGGGAATCGAAATGTACGATGTTGTGGTCGGATGCTCCACCCGACAGATTGGCAACACGTGTCTCGTAGACCCTGCTTATGATGAGGAATACAACAGCAAAACGGGCGGAAAAAACAACGGGAGTTTGTGCTTAGGTCTGATGCCATCATTGAACCAAGTGTCAGCTTTTATTGAGTGCGGAGAACTAGAGACTGAGATCTTGATGCAGAGCATACATTCCTGTGTTGATGGGTGCATGAGAATTTATCCAGTTGTGAGACAGTGTCTGACTAAGTCAATAAAGTCACTTCAAAAGCACCAAGATGGAACGTAATTACTACCAAATTAAACTCGTAGTGTATTCACTAGAAGTGGTTACTAGTTAAAATAAATAAATTGATTTTTTTTAAATTAAGTTGTATAATGATTATTTATTGACCACTTGGCTCCCAGAGACAGATACTTGGGTACTAGATATCAACACAATAATCCTCGCAAATTGAAATATTGTATTTGCTCTGCAGAAGTACTTCTATAAAGCAACTGCAAGTACTTCTGACATAAAGCAACTTCAATATTAAGTGTAATATTGTTAGTACCATGATCTGGATTTTTCCACATAAAATACTGGTCAAATAAAGTACTAGTATCATCCACCGCCTTCTATTCTACTATCTATTATTACTATAATATTCTTGTGAATTATATACGTTTTAGGCTTCCCACAAAACAGAAATTTAGTGACATGTTATTTGGAAATTTGCCGAACTATGGGTTGATGGAAATTGAATCCATCGAGGTCAGGAATCTCGTCTTCGCATCTATTGGCTTGATTTTTAGTGTGAACAAAAAAAAAGCAGTATTGATATCAATCTGATTAAAATCTGGTGTATGGTGTGAATTGAATTTTATTTTATATTTTTTAGTTTATTTTTACAATATATTTTTATTGTAGTTTATTATTATTACATACATCTTGTATTACTTTAACTATTGCCACATACTATAGCAATTAAATAATAAAGAAAAGAAAATTTATAATAAAAATAAATAATTATGCACATATTTAAAAAAAATAAAGCCCAGACTAGGATTCTATTTTAATCAGATTATATCAGATGCCTTGAACTATGAATATATCTGGTTTGTTTGCAATAGTGCTGCTTAGGCTGCCTTCAATTCACAGTAAGCATATCCAACATGTCGATGTGTGGAATTAATTTACAGTTTTGGGTTGGTTAAATTTAAAATGTTTTCTTCTGTACAGATAGGAAATCCTTGTCATTGAGAGGAACATTTCCCATGAAATAGGTTGGGTGGGTAGAAGAATCAGCTATTAATCAAAGAAAGCTTAGAAAGAACTCCCGTGTGCTGAGAGTATTGAAGACACATTAAAAATTACTTGTACCTGACATATTGATGGAAAAGCTGAAAACTAATTATGTAAATCAAGTAACAAATATGAACAGAACAAACAAATTATGAATTATTATGCTAATTAGAGAATTAATATGAACAAATTTTAACCCAAAATTAATTAGGCCTGTCTATTGTTCTAGAGCATTTATGTACCAAATTTTATTCAAATGTGATGATCAGTAATTGAGATATCAGTGTTAATTAATTAGGAGATTAATAAGCATAAATATTCACCAAAACCTAATTGGGTTTCTGCATAGTTCTCTTTAAAAGTTTCATTAAAATCCAATTTGTGGTTCTTTATATATCAGTGGAACATTATGCAAATTAGGTAATTAATATCCAATTAAAACTAATCAGGTCTCTGCATAATCCTAGAAGATCTATGTAGCAAGTCTCATTGAAATATGATTACTACTTGATATATCAAAAGCTGAAAATTAATATGTACTCATATTACACTAAAAACTATCAGGTCTGTGCAGTGTCCTATGACATCTATGTACCAAATTTCATTGAAATGTGATGATTACTACTTGAAATATCAAAAGCTGAAAATTAATTAATTATGCTAATTAGGTAATTAATATCCAATTAAAACTAATCAGGTCTCTGCATAATCCTAGAAGATCTATGTAGCAAGTCTCATTGAAATATGATGATTACTACTTGATATATCAAAAGCTGAAAATTAATTAATTATGCAAATTAGCTAACTAATATGTACTCATATTACCCTAAAAACTATCAGGTCTGTGCAGTGTCCTATGACATCTATGTACCAAGTGTCATTGAAAGGTAAT